TATGGAGCCTCTTACATGCTGGCACGGCCATCAGCTGCCGCGCAGCAGCATGACGGCTCAACCTTACGACACAAACGTGATGGCGCCCGGCAGCCATAGGCACTGCCGGCATCATGCGGCAGGCGTTGCGGCAAACACAGCGCCGAACGGCAGGGGTCGGCAGGGGGTCGGCAGTTAACGGCATGAGTGCGGCACTGGAGATGCCTGGTCGGCATGAGTGCGGCACCTGGTCGGTTCATTGGAAATTTTGCGATGAAACTCAAGACGTCAAAGGGTCACATGCTAGCAAAACATTCATAACAACTTCAATCTGAAGGTCGTTCAATTCTTTGTGTCCAGGAGCGAATTGTGTAATTGTGAATCGAGTCCTGCTTTGGTTCCTCATTGCTTTACCGTTTGTGAATCATTCTAGGTTGCAGAATGGGTTCTGACTATCGACGAAGCCGAAGCGGGCGAGAAATCGTCCTTTCGTAAGCGGAGACAGCCCTCGTAGGATATGTGAAAACAGCGGCGTTCAAAATAATCTCGTCGACTGGAACTCAATTATTCAAGTTGGCTTTCTGACCGAATGCTTTTCTCTTCACTTCGAAATTGGATGGAAGTTTTATGTTCGCCGAGTCTAGACCCTAGACTCTACCCTAGACTCCGGGCTGGGGACTGTACATGAAGAGATTGAGAATGAGCAGCTAGCATTGGCAACTCACCCTCAGATCAAGCAAGCGCACTCAGTTGCATCAAGAAGTCAGGAAGTTGCTTCAACTATCTAAGATTGATTCCGATCCACAACGGGTATTTGCTCCCTGCTTACGATCCTATGGAAGCTAGTAGCGATGAAAATGACGTCCCTAATCTGTAGGTTCGTTTTGTGCAGGCGTCCGCTGACAGTGCACTTCTTGAACGAAGAGCACCAGGCCATGGTCGAAGCGTGCGAGCCAAGGCTGCCCGCAAACGTGATCCAAGTGGTCGGGCCTTGGACTGGGTTTCCATAACGAGGGTTGGTTGAGAAGTAGGAAAACTAAATCTTCCATTGTTGTAAAGCGGTTCCTTTCTCTGTTCCACACAAGGGTTCTCTGCTAGTCTTGAACAAGGCTCGGTAATCTGGGACTATTCAAGTTTCGACCACTGCGATGAAATGGACTGCTGAAGATTGTTTATTTTGGGTACTGAAAGCGGAATGATCTTAATTGCTTGTAGCCAGCTGTTTTGTTTACTGGATTATTAGTACGATGCAATTCGTAGATGAGGCTTGAGATGTGATGGCGCCGAGGCGCTGCCGCATCGACAAGGTACCGCATGACATGCTTGCTATATGGGCCGAATTCAGTGCGATAGTGGAAAAGTTATAGCGTCTTGAACGGCTTCAACATGGAACGGTCCCACTCGTTTTGAAGTTTTTGTATGCGTCGCCGAATGGGTCCTACAAGGCCCGATATCATGTTTCACTATCAGAGCTGTACGGTGCAGTCGCCGCAGTCTGTCAATGATGTCAATTGACTGGTGCAAGAGTTTCTCCGCCACTTTACGCGTGCATTGGCCCAGCCACGCGGGGGCCACGCGGTGACATCATGTGCAATACTAGCATATATTCTGACTTGTTATGTACATGCCACAATGCGCGATCGCGACTTGTCTATGATTGAACGTGGATTGAACCTTTCAGTCCGGACACTCCACCGAATTGTGCATACTATTACATATGTGACGGTTGGACAGGGTCACACGCTGCCTGTCTACTTCACATGTGCGGAAACCATGCGAAGCTTCTCAGCACGCCTTGGGATCACCTCGTGCAAGAGCGCCT